GCCAAATCTCTGTTTGAGGGGGGAAACGTTGTTGTGTTTCTTTTTTTTAAACTTCACCTCAGAATAATTTTTCTTTTATACCATTCTCAATACCTCAAAAATCAATAATGGTTCCATATTCTTCCAAAGTAAAGTTTAGACTCCACACCTGTCGTACAAAGTTCTCCACCATTTTCTGTTTTACTAAAATAATTGAGGCAGCCATTTCTGAGCTCCTTAAGATAACTTCATCTTCAAACCCAACATTTAATGATATTAATAATATCTCATGTTTGTATAGCACTTTACAGCTCTCAAAGTGTATTCCATACACATTATCCTACTACCCTAGATTTGTCTCACATTGTGTGTCTCCTTACACTACGTTCCAGCCAGACTTGACTTTGTTCCTTAGACATGCCGTGAACTTTTCCTCTTCTGTGCTGTTACTCAGACATAATTTTCTATGTCTGAAATTTCTTCATTCTATCTGTCTGTATTCCTCCCTATCTTTTAAATATCAGTAAATATGTGACCTTACCTAGGAAGCCTTCCTTGACCCCCTGTCCTTGGTTAGTAACTATCTTTTCCTTTGATCCTATCAAAGCACTAATGAATTTTTTCCATAATCTTATACGTTATAGTTATCTATATTAGTGTCTTACTGTATTTCACAAGCGTTTAGTGCAGTGTACTAGGTTCCTAAATATTGTTGTCTTGTGATGCTGCCTAACAGTGCTCATCCTTCTTTTGTGTGCTACCTGGCTTGCTCCCCTTTAGACTTATGCCAGACATTTTCTTCACCCTTTCTAATCTTGCACAGCCCATAGTTTCACTATTTCAAGGACCTGTGATTTTGTTAAAACCCCACAACAACTTAATAGCTGGTCTCAATATTTATGGTGCCCAAATTTTTCATCAGTCTTTAGCCAACCCGGAGATAAACCTTTCTGAATTTAGGTAATTGATCCTCTGAAAATGGTCACACAGTCAGTCAATCAAAGGCTTAAACAGGTGGTAAATGATGTTAGGGAACCAAATTAGCATCCTTTAGTGTCAGTCAGACCTGCTTTTGTGAAGGGCCCATTCTTCTGAAAGCTTAAATTGATTATCGACTGAGAATATATTTGTTGGTTGTCTGTTAACTTTACTCTTTTGTAACAGTATACACAATGGCGTTCAAGGCTGTGGGTAGTGTCTAGAAATTTCAGAAGGCTTAATTTTGATAACTAAAACAGTGATTAGGAACTGGAGCCAGCAGTTATTTCAGGATAGGACATCATATGGGGAGAAGAGAGACTTTGGAAATATACATTGATGTGGCATCACCTCATACTTCAGTATGCAGCCTCTGCTATCTCTGTATACTAATCTAGGCACAAAAGGAGGAATTTGCTATCTGCAATTTTTATAGACTTGAATGTTACTGAAAAGGAAGTACTTCAAGGACATATCCATTCATTTCCAGCTTAGGGATTCTCATTTCGTGTAAATCATTTTGCCACTTTTCATTTTAATTCTTTGCTGTCATTTTCTGGTAAAGAGATAATTTGGTTTCTCCCTACTTAAGGTGCTCGGTCACTGATCATTCAACTGACAGCTGCCCTTTGTCTACAAAAGTGTAGTGCCCCTAGGATTTATTTTATTACTTTTTTTTTTATTGCTACCTGTAGATTTCTATTTATGTTTTTCTCCTTTCCTCTGTCTTAGAAAATGTCTAGGGTCATAAACTTCCTTATATTGAACAGATGTGTGTTCTGATCCCAGGACTTTCATTTCAGAAATCAATTCCCTCTGAAACCTTGGAAAGAACAAAGTTTTGCCTCAGTTTCTTTAATTGTCAAATGTAAACAGTTTAGTCTCTGAAGAATGATCTGAGGATATAAAACAGATAGCAGGGCCTTAGTTTTCCTCTGTCTGCCTTGAATTGTTTTCAGTACATTCAGAAACAAAATTAGACTTAGCATATGGTGTCCCCAAGTGACCCCTTTGGTATGTCATATTAAATTATACTGTAGGTCACAAATGTATACCATAGTTTCTGTTTGTATAGTAGAGTGTTTGATGGTGTAGTTTCATAACATCTCTTCATCGTCCCTCTTCTCTAATCTAACCTACATAGTTCTGCCAGGGTAATCTTCCTAAACTACCATCTTGTTTGTGCCCTTCCAGTGATTAAAAATCTCACTTCCCCATTGCCGACAGGATAAAATCTAAGCTCTTTAGTCCAGCTTTCAGGACTTTCCAAGGTCTGACTTGATTCTGCCTTTCTTGCCATATCTCCTCCCCAGCTCTTCCTTTATGTTGTGTGGGTTTTTTTGTGATGTTGATAACTGTTTGTCAGCATAATTGATTTCCTTTGTTATTGTATTTTATTTCATTCATTTAAGAACATAATTCTAAAAAAGGGGTCCATAGGCTTCTCTTGACTGCCAGAGGGGTCTGTGACACAACAAAGATGAAAAGCCTTATGTGAGCCTTCTATGACAACTAAAGGGATGTCATCCATGTATATGTGCCTAATGTTTTCCTTTCTCCATTGCTTTCTTTGTTCTAGCTGTATTCTCTAGGTTCATTTAGTCTATAAACAAATGTTTATTTAGCACCAACTATGTGTCTGGCATTAGTCACAGGAGATACAATTATGTGAGTGAAACAGCCCTGGCCCTTAAGGGAAAAAACAAAGTATACAAAGAAGTTAATATGAGGTCTATATAAAATAAATGCAAAGTGATTACGGCAGGTGGGGGTGGGGTGGTTAAGAACTGGGGGAATCGGGAAAGGCCTCCCACAGGTTGTGGCTCTCTAGCTGAACTCTGAAGGGAGCTACTGGTCCTGAGAAACAAAAATGGGACACAGAGGTGGCAGGTGGTACATCGTGGAGAGGAAACGATCAATCGACCAGTTTGACTGGAGTATAGATTGTTTAAGGGGGAGTAATACGTAATCAGCCTAACAAACAACAAAAGCTGGGTCCAAGTTGTGGAGGCCTTTAAATGCCCGGAAGAGAAGCACATATCTTATTGGAGCCAGTGGGGAGCCACTGAAGCTTCTTAGGTGGGAGAGTGAGGTGGTCAAACCTGTGATTTAGGAATATAAATTTGGCCACCATAGAGAAGATGAATTAGAAAGAGAAGGAACTCAGTGCAGAGATTGCAATTGGGAGGCTATTGTAGTCCTCTTAAACTAGAGTGAGAAGGTCCCTGAACTGGAGTAGTTGTGGTATGAGTGGAGAGAGGGGAGGATTGCAGGAAATGCTGTGGAGGTAGATCAATCTTTCCTACTTGCTTAAATAGTCTGTCCTATTGAAAGAGATATAAATGAGAACTGCTAAGTAACAAGATAAAGCAAGTTTAAAAAAAGTATGATTCATGACAAGAATATATTTCATAATAACCACAGACATAAAGGATGTTTAATATAATGACTAATTGTTGAATCCTCCAGTTTAAGGTATGTTGAAATAATACATAATTTCTTGATCCCTTGGTTTGAAAAAAAGTTAGTATTTATCCTGGTTCCCTGTGCAATGGAATAAAAGCCTGAAAATTTATAGCAGAATACACTATATTGGTCTGAAGTTAGGCCTCACTTTTTCCCCAAAATCTGCCTTGTATGAAACCTGAATATGGCCTATATTTTATGTTATTCTTCAATGTATGCCTGTGTGTTTTCCCTTTTATGACAGTATCTCACTTTAAGTGTGACTTAGGTTGAGAGGTAGTGTGTATTCAGATTTCTATTGACTCTCTGATCACAAACTCATAATCAGTGAATTCTAAATTGTTGAGGTTTTCACTTGTTCCCTGAACCATGACCAAGGAGCTCTGATGCCTTCCAGTCAATTCCTTCTCCCATGCACAGTGTTTTGTAATTCACCAAGCTAGCTCATCATTATACAGAATATTTGTACAGTTATTGTATAGTTCTTCATTGTAAGAGTGTTTCTTCCTCAGGTTCTTGAGTGACTGCACATTTATAACAGCACCTACTTTTTCTGACACCATTCATAACCTGGATATGTGGCTGATTATCAACATCATTCTCAAAAAGGGAATGCTTCATAGCCTTAGTCGTAATGGAGAAGAGCCATTTTCTTTGGGTCTCTCCATCTCCTTTGGATTTATGTTCTGTTTCCCAAAAAGATCTTCAGGAATTAATGATTTATTGTTGTGGTTTTGGGCAAATGGTCTTGGTTTTCTGATATTCTTATGTATTAGCAAAAAAAAATGTACAAACAATCCTTTGTCTCATTTTAGATGTTTAATAAACAGTACATTCACCTGTGGGCAGCTAGGTGGTAAGTGGACAGAGTACCAGTCCTGGAATCAGGAAGACTTATCTTCATGAGTTCAAATCTGGCTTCAGACACTTATTAGCTGTGTGAGTCTTGGGAAGTCACTTAATTCTGTCTCAGTTTCCTTATTTCTAAAATGAGCTGGAGAAGGAAATGGCAAACTACTCCACTATCTTTGCCAAAACAACCCCAAATGGGGTCATAAAGAATCAGACACAAATGAAACAATGAACAACACAGCACATTCACATACAGTTTCCTTGTCTAGATCATACTGGCTTGGCGATCCTAATTTTTTCAAGGTCAAAAAGTACTCCTATTATTGGCACTTCAGACTGTTCACCTTGATGCTGCTTTAATATAAAACACATATTACATATTAACATGTAATATTAACTCATAATTTATGTGTGTGTAGCAATACACACAAAGAAACAAATGCCGTTCATTATCAGCATCTTTTTCTAATGAAGGGCAATACTGACTGGGTAATTAAAAGCAACTTCCTTACAATATTTTCCTTCATATGGGAGAACATGGATAAGAATCCCAGTCCAAGAATAAATGGACAGGTTGCTGAACCTCTCCTGATACAAGTACCCACACTGAGGAGAACCAATGGAATATTAGAACTTGGGAAGATATCTCAGTACTTTGATGAGAATATTTTGGTGTTTTAATTTTTTTTTAATTTTGTGTTCTTATTTCTTGTTTGTTTCTGCAGTTACTTCAATGAGAATCAATATCCTGATGAGGCAAAGAGAGAAGAAATTGCCAATGCCTGCAATGCTGTCATACAAAAACCAGGTGAGGCCATGAGCCTTCGGTTAGGGCAACTACAGTTATCTAACTCTTCTAAATCTTAGCCCCCAACCCCTCACAAGGTAGCATTCCCAACCCATTCTCTTACCTCCTTCAGGACACTTTATTTAGATCATCACTTGGACCTACAGGTTTTTAACACTAAAAACTCCTGCTGGGTTCGTAGGAACAGCTTTTATTGGAATATAGGAAATAGAAAATAATTGTTTTTCCTAAAGATTTGGTAAAATTCCTTTTTAGGAAGATTGCATGAACCAGAGTTCTGTATGAATTTAAAATCAGGCACATTTAATGAATTCAGTAATATTGCTTTTCCATTTTGGTACACAAACTAGCATAGTATCCATCTTGTAATAACCTCTTTTCAGCTGAAGGATCCTTTTTAGTGAGATTACAGTGTAGGTACCACCTTCATTATTCCTACTTAAATAAGCAGGCTATTTATGTGCAATTCAACTGTTGTCCTTCCCTCTTTGAGCTACATACAACACCCTACTTTACCTACTTGCCCCAATTAGAGCTCTTATGTACTATTGGACTGGAGACTCCAGTGAGATACCAATCTAACACATGCCTGCCTTGTGTAGGAAGAGACTGATATGTGTTGAGCCAGCCCAGCCTTTTTTGTTGACTGAAGAATGATAAACTGAAAATGTTGATAAATTGGAATAAAAAAATAGTAATACTCGACTTACCTGGAGTTCAGACTTCAGACAACCTCAGACATTTGGAATATAGCCCAGAAAACAAAAGTAAGCAAAAAAAGACCTATGAACACTGAAACTGTATTCCCAAATCCCCACCAGTTCTACTTACTTTACTTCGTAGTAAAGTTTCTTAGGGTTTTTTTTCTTAGACTAGAGTTCTAACAAGCTTGCCCCATGGTAGATTAGAAGTTACAGGCTAGAAAATGGGTGGGTTTTAGAAACCAAAACAGTTTGACGTCTGAAAATGGAGAAAAGGAAAAAAAACTAACCTAAACTAAAAAGCACATTCGCTTATAATGTGCTGTTACAGTATAATATAATAATGGATTTTCAGGGTCATAATTGACCCTGCGTTACCAAGAAAAGTTTATATTATCTATATTCTCTCTACTTGAGAAGTTAGGGAAGTATATAAAGTATATAATTCCCTTTAAAGGAATTATCATCAAAATGGTTGCAATATGAAAAGTTTGGGGACTTGAAAGTGTTTGCTTCAGTATCTGAAAAATTCATTTAATGTGAAAGATCTCTTTTCCTAATGATAATGGATAAACATGAGCATCCCTCACTGCATCATACAATTTAAAAAGTACTTGACCCCTGTGGACATACTTTCTGGAGAGATGTGCATCTTATATGTAAGTACTCCTGAACTGGATGAAGCATATTATTGGGTAATATTCATATTTCCTTCAAAAACCATTTATGTGCCTAATCTGTGCTAGATGTAGGAATAAAAACCTAACCTGAGTCCCAGTACCACCTAGTTTTAGCCAGGCACTCAGAACTTTGTCATCTGTACTATACTGAATGCATTCACAGGCAAAAAGCTGTCTGATCTGGAACGAGTCACTTCCCTAAAAGTCTACAATTGGTTTGCCAACAGAAGGAAGGAGATCAAGAGAAGAGCCAATATCGGTAATGTATCAGAGAGGCTGCTGCTTCCCTCTCCTTGTCAGTAGTTGAAAACTCAGTAGTGTTTTGTGCTGCAGCAGCAGTTAGGGTTTCAAAGTAAGACTCCAGTTGGAAACAACCAGTTCTGCCACTTAACTAGCTGATTATTTTACTACTCTGTGTTTCAGTTTCCTTATTATTAAAATGAAGTTGCTGGATTACATGATCTCTAAGGTTCCTTCCTGCTATAAATCCTATGATTTTATGAATACCACAAAACGATCCTAACTTCTAATCCCTTGGACATGTTTATATTATGTTTCCCTTCATCTTATTTCTTAATGGCCAGACAATGACATTTTTTCATCATATTGTTTATTTTTATGGTTAGTAACATTTCACAGTTCCATAAGATATTACTGCCACCAAATATCATTTCTACTGTTTTGATAGAGTTGATGATGCATGCTTGAAGCTAACTGTTTACAGCACCATTGGAGAATGACTCAGCCACTGTGAAGAACTTGTCTCATGGTACACAGCCAAATCCAATAGAGCATTAAGGAATCTGAAGTGGCCAGGTTTGGGGAGTAAACTTTTGGGCCACTGAAAATATATTCCATTATTAAATAGCTTGCCTATAACTGCCCCCTTCAGAAGCATTATAGAACCGGTAACAGGATCACTTGCAAATAACAAGCATTTATTAAGCACCATTCAACTTTCTGAATGTAACATGCAGACTAGCAGGAGTTTCAGAGAAGCAAAACATTATTTTTTCATTCTTAACTTAAATGAATGAATGAACGATCTAGCTACCTCTAGATACCTAGACACCTCCTTTGTTGTTTAACAGTTTAAAAAAGTAACTGACTTTAAGTTAAAGATGAACATCTTTAACTTTAAGTTTTCTCAGCCATAGAAGTAATTCTGTATTTAAAACAATTAAAATAACGTATCAGATAATTTAGGGATCCATTTGCTTTTTTCGAAGAAGCAGCAATCCTGGAGAGTCATGGGATAGATGTACAGAGTCCAGGAGGCCATTCCAACAGTGATGATGTAGATGGAAATGACTACTCAGAGCAGGTGAGCAGCTGAGCAGAGGTCATTGATTACAAAATGGGTTCAAAGCTGTGAGCTCATTTTGTACAGGGAGGGAGGGGGGGTTATTCTCCTGCCGCCTCCCCCTCCCCAGTTCCCATCATGTGTCTAGTCAGATTTTCATGTAATTTGAACAACAAAGTGGTGAAAATCAGTTGTCCTGTTTAATTTCTGAGAAATCAATATTCACCCACATGGATTTATTGTCATACAACAGGACACTTGGCAAGTACGCAATGGGGAGGAGGAGGAGGGACGAAGTTCTGAGGGAGGCAGAGAAGCAGAGAAGGTAGAAGAAGAGAGGAGGATCTGAGCCAAACAAGCAAGTTGCACCATTCACCACATGCACACACCCAATGTTTGAAAAATATTAGGAGCAACCGGGCAGCAGTAATTCATGCCTTAACGTGTACCAACGTAGAGTACAAGTCAAAGGCCCACCCACTGTGGCACCATTGCAGTGGTAACCCTCATGCAGAAATGAGTGGTTCTTGCAGATTCTCTCTGGCATGTTGGGCATACGCTCTCTACCTGCATGTCTTCCCATTTCACCTTTATTTTTTTCTTCATTGGTTGGAGGAAATGTATTAATAGTAGCCACTGGATGGGATAAATCCATTAGCTATAAATGTGGGGAATCCTCTGACATATGTTGCTAAATTTCATGGAAATCTGAATAGAGTTTCAGCTTTATATCCACGTAGTTATATATGCAGTGTACCATACCAGATTTTCACAGAATAGCTTCTCTCCAGTTTTATGAATTGGTCCCATATTACTAGGAGCGATAATTAATACCTACAGAGTTCTTGACTATAGTTTTTTTTGTTTTGTTTTGTTTTTGTTTTTTGTTTTTGGTGAGGCAGTCGGGGTTAAGTGACTTGCCCAGGGTCACACAGCTAGGAAGTGTCAAGTGTCTGAGGCCAGATTTGAGCTCAGGTCCTCCTGACTCCAGGGCTGGTGCTCTATCCACTGCTCCACCTAGCCACCCCTGTTCTTGACTATAGTTAACAAAAAGGCTAGGGAAGAAAGACTCCCAGTCCATGTTCTAGTCTGTGCTTGAAACTGTTTTCCCTACATCAGTTTACATTGATTTATTTCATGGCTTCTACCTCCCAGCTTGAGCACGACCATTTTGCAGTACAAATGATACATAAGAAATTTATCTCATGCAATGTTTTTTTATGCATAGCAAATGTTGATCCGTAATGGGAGTAAACAGTTGCAGACTCAGAAACATCTCTGTAACCCTAGATAGAATCCCATATCAAGCACTGAGTACACTATTCTGTTTTTGTTTTTGTTTTTGTTTTTGTTTTAAACTTCAAGGAGACGAAGGCAAACCTAAAACCCTTTCTGTATTTGGTGTCTCCCATCTGCCATTCTTTCCAGACCCACACGTGGCAATGGCTGTCTTCTTTACAAGTATCCTTGAGACACTTCCCATACATCATTTCCTGAGGAACTGACCATCTATTCAAAGCTTTTGGCATGAATTTCCCCAGGATATGATGCAAGGTGAAATGTTCGCTCAGTATCTGTAGCAGTAAGCCCCATAATGCCCATTTCCATTCAGAGCTTTATTTCTGTGCATGTTGAGCTCAACCAAGAGAAGTGGTGACCACTCGAAGTGAGGTAGCGGACACTCTTATTAGACAGCTGGCTGGGGCCAGGAAAGTTCCATGTGCACTCATTCCAGACTTTGGTTCTATTACAGTCAGTGATAAAGCTTTCCCTTTATCTGTGTATGAAAACATATGTTCACCAACGGGCTAGTAGATATTTAGCCTGTAACACTACAGGCTTCAATCTTGTTTAGTTAGTAGGAAATGCTGTATAACCCTGTATAGGAGTTCTCAAACAGTATCTGACGTTCCCATGTAGACTCTTATAAGTCACATCTGACAGCTCTTAGGATACATAATACCACTGGCCTAAACATAGGTACACATTGGTAGTTTCATGCCAGCTGTTACAACTTATATTCATGTCCAGTAAGAAAGCTTCTAGCAGCCTGAATACAGTCTCCACCAGCAGAACAGATTAGGGTGCTTATTCTTTGTCAGAAGCGCAAGATGGCGACTGTGCCTCTCTCCATTCAGTGTCTACTTATATACAGTTCAGTTTCATCCTATCACAAGACACCTGCTCCCTCCCCCAACACCTTCATTTCTGACCTTGAATGTTCATCTTCTGCTTGCCTTTTCTTGCATGCCCTTTCGTGAGCTGAAACATCATCAGGACATTAACATTGTTCTCCTTTTCATTCCGTCTCTGCAGGACGACAGCACTAGCCATAGTGACCACCAAGACCCCATCTCATTGGCTGTGGAAATGGCAGCAGTCAACCATACCATACTGGCCCTGGCCCGGCAAGGAGCCAGTGAGATCAAGACAGAAGCCCTGGATGATGACTGACTGACTGATAGAGGGAGGGTCGAACACAAGAAGTTAACTTAGTTTTAGACGTAGCACCTTAGCAGACTTTCCTCGGTCCTTAATATGTGTTCTTACAGTATAACTTTGCAGTTTCTTGTATGTCAGTTAGCTGTTAGGGTCTTGTTCTGTGAAGATGGCATGGTGCCCTCAGCCTTTGCATATACTCTCTCAGTATTAATTCCCAGTAAATAATAACCAACCAATCAATCAACCAACCAAACTTCCCTCTCCCAGCCCCTGTGGCTCGAAAATCTTGCTGCTCTGTTCTGTCTTAGCATTCCAAGAAAGTGCTTCCAGGTATTTTAGATAGGCCTTGATTTTCAAATATTAGACTACATGTAAAATCTCGGATAACCTTAGATATCATGTCACACTAGTCTATCTACCCTTCTTTCCTTCTCTAAGACTGAAAGGATGCAAGCTGAGGTAGTGTGGCAGAGGATTGACAGACACCACTTGGGAGTATCCACAAAGAGTAAAAAGAACACTGCAATCCCCACCTTCGTGTGAGAATAATGGATTTCCAGCTGCAATAAGCCGTGCCTCATTATAGTCACACTGTGGCTAGATTATACTTCTCTGGGTGCTGTGCTAAGAATGTCAATGGGAAAACGTATTCGCAGATTTTGGTTGATGTTAACATGCCCAACACAGACATCCTCTCCTATCACAAGCTGTGTGACTTAGTGGATAAAATACTGCCTTCTGCCTTTGGGACCATGTTAAAAGCCCAGCCTGAGAGCATTGGGGAAAATGAGCTGAATGTCTAATGGAGGCTAAGTTTACTTCTTAGAACCACTATACATTATGGGCACAGCTACTAGTGCCTGACCGGAAAAGATCCAGGATTCGCCATCCAAGTTGCATTATCCTTCCCTTGCCACTAAAAAGAAAAAAAAAGTTAAAAAAACAGAAGCTCTCAAGGATGGGATTAAGGTCACAAGTGAACGGGCTTGTAACTTTGTCTTTATAACTCTTGCCTGCAACCTGCAAAGTAAGAATATTTGATAGAGGACTTTACTACAACAGTTATATGGGGTATCATAAATGCAACTCACTTAAATATGAGTAGGAAAAAGGCAGGGGATCATTTACCACTTACATTGTAGGAGATATAATGGGATGTGACTGCTTTGGTGTTCTTCTTTACTCTGTCCTTGTAATGGTATGAGAAAGTTATACTACCACAGGCAATTTAATTAATAATTGGAAGCCATATTGATAATGGATGTGGTAATATTTGTAAAGTTTAATCTACTTTAAGCAGCAGTAACTAATGGAATTTTTTTCCTTGATCACATATGTAGCACTTTTGTTACTTTTTAAAGATATTTATATTTGATAAATCCTTTTTTCGTTTTGAGAATTCAAAATACCAAACAGTGAACTTGCATTATAGAGTCACCCTGCAATCACCTTGTCATCTAATAGTAAAATGATGAACTATCCATGCATCGAAGAAAATTACATCTGCTGGCATTGTCTGAAAATGATCTCCTGGCGTCCCGATTAAATGACATTGTGTCATAGCTGGTAAGAGGAAATAGCATAGGATATGTCTGAAGTAGGCACGAGTACAGTGTGTGTCCTGCCTCATTCCATCTTTTCTCTCCATATACAACAAAACCTTGTTTAATGGGGTAGAAGAGGCTAGCTGTTAAGCAGGGCTTCTCTGTCTTTTGTTCTTCATGTGAACTATTTCTATTAGAGAATGAAGGTGCCATTTCTTCTCTTCCTCTTTTCTCCGCCCCCTCCCCCTTTCCTTCCTACACAGACGTCTTGAACTTCAGACCATTGCTAGAGAGACTGAACTTGCTTATTTTCTCCTTTTCTTTTTCCTTTGGGTGCAGTTTCTTGAGCATCATTAAGGTTTTAGCCAGTATTCCCATTAAGATTCACACTCAGCAAATCATCTCTTCATCCGCCAGTCTTGCTAGCTAAATGTGAGTAGGAGTCAGCACTTTCAGAAGACATGAAGTTCACATCTATCCATGATTTTGAAGAGCTCTATTTCAGGGGAAAATATATGTGCTTTTCACAGATGTGGACAGCAGAAATAAAGGAAAAGTTTTCCCCCTTTTGATTTATATTACTTGAATAGGCAAATTTGAGTAGCATGACTTATGCTCAGGAATGAAGTCATTTGATCCCACCACCAATTTTCTTTCTTTCTTTTCTTCTTTGTGAGTCTTTTTTCAGAGAGAGTTTTTGTTCTCTCCTCTTTTCATTTTTCACTGAAGAAATATAACAAATTGTAGCTTTTTTATTTTGGGTAGAATTTTTATATACTTATTCTTCAGTTGAGTCAGAGAAAAAAGGACAGAGAGAAGACACTCTCTCTCTGACAAGCGATATCTCTGATTTATTGTAAGGAGATTATGATAATTGATAGCTTCTTTATGTTGGGGCTCTACTATCCTTTGTTCTTCCTCTTTCTTTTCATGGAACAGACTCAAACTGTTAAGACAGCTGCAGTTTCTAAAGAAATACACTGGTTGCCATAGCTTATCAGAAAGGTTGCATTGTTTTAAAGAATGAAGGAGAAAGCACCCTTCAGAAAATAAAGGGGAGTTTGCAATGTCTCATAAGTGCAACACCAATTCTCTATGCCTCTGGCAACATGCTAGAATTGAGGAAAAGTTTCCATTTAGCATAGATAAGTAACAAGGGTCTTCTTATGCTCCTGAGGAGGAGTGCTACAAAAGAGGAAAAGGAAGACTCGAACCACAGTCTTCTTACACACTTGGAGCTGGAAGAGGACCTTAGAAATCATTGAGACCAACTCTGATTTTACACAAGGGTGTATATGCCCAGAGAGATAGAGGTGACTTGCCCAAGATCATACAGGTATGAAATGGAGCCAGGGTTCGAAGCCAGGCCACCTGACTCCAAAACCAATGTTCTTGTTACTGCACCATGCTGCCTCTCCTCCTTACTGAAAAAAGGAAGAGGATGTTAACTGAAGAAACACTAAAACAATTAACAATGCCAGCCTATTCTTAGCCATCATATTTCCACCTGAATTAAAGAATGACTTCCTTTGTATCTAGATTCGTCCTTAACCCAGATTCTCTGTTTTCCATAAGTTTGAATTCTGGTCTTTTATCCAAGCTACTGTAGTTCTCCAGGGAAGTTCTTAGTTAGATTTGACTTCTAATACTCTGGATTATGGATTTGGGGGTTGCCCAACCCCACCCCCCAGGGTTGTGAAAGCCATCAGAAATTTTGTTTAGACCCTAAGCTTTTTTATTCCTAAGGGAGTTCACCTTGCTTTAAGAAAGCCTGTTTGTTTCATCATTTTTGGAAGCCACCTTCTCTTCCTTTTCTGGTCTGCTGGCCTTTTCTCTCCAAACCATACACTGTACTTCAAGCCCCTAGAGGAAGTTCTCAAGTTCTCTGCTCCTTCCTGCTAACGGAAGTAGCCAAAACTCCCTTGCCACCTTTTGCTTATCTGATCTTCTTACAAGAACTCTAGACTCACCACAGATGAGTAAGTTTTCCGTGTTTTTGGCAACCCCGTGAGAACCTTGTAAAGACCCTTCCTAACTAAATTTCTACCCACCTCTCAAAGGAGCAATACTAAATATACACATCTGAGACCCCATGCTTTTATTTAAAAAACACTTCTACAACCTCGCTCACTTTAGTATTACTTATATCCCAGGGAGAACTACCCAGGAAAGTTTTAGTCTTCCAGTTCTAGAAACTTTCAACAGTTGTTTGGTTTCTTTGTTCTATGTTGGGGAGAGGGATGCCATTTGAGCCACAGGATCTGGACAGTTTCTACAGTTACCTCATATCACAAAATAGATGCACTACAGAAGGTGAAAGGACACTCTCTAGTGTACTCCCTGGATGGTGACAGTGAAAGTGATCCCAGGTCCAGGTGTCTGGGACCCAGGGCAAGCAGCAAAGGATTCCCTTTCAACTTGTGCTTCACTTTAGTCCAATACAGTTTATTACTTAGAGTGAAATCGGAAATCCTCAGTGTGAGGGCAGTCTCACAGTAGTCGACTTATTGTGTTGGACTTTGCATCGAGCCCTTAAACTCTTCACTCGGCATTGTGAATTTGAATTTAGCATTATCTTCCTCGTGGGTGAAAACTGTTTTATGTATTGGCTTAAAAAAAATAATCACAATAATCTAGAGATATCTTTTGGTCCTCATCTCAAGTAACTTGTGTCTTGGTGATAAGTCACTCAGGAATAGCAGGCATTTCTGATGCCATAGAATTTGAATGAGGATTCTTTTTAAATTTCAAGTGGTCTGTGTTTCAGTGTGGGGTAGTGGAGGTGTTCATTAGGCTCAAGTATAGAAATCTGATCTCAACAGCACCAAGAGATTCATATTGACAGGCAATCTATCAAATAGTCAATCAGCAAACATCGATCCACCTGTGTTGTGCCAAGATATCTTGATGTATTTTCACTTGAAGGAAAAACAAAAGATTTCAGCCAGATTTTCAGCTTCCAAGTTTTGACATTTGTCTTTGACAGGTTTTATCAGCTCCCTCAGCATAATCCATCCCACTAACCCTGGCAGGCACTAGGTGTAAAGCAGACATTAGAGAGTTGAACTCACATTATCCTCTGTCCCCTTTGTCCTCCCTGTTCCAGCACTGAGCTCTGCCTCCAGCCCTGATTGCTCTTTGGCTCTGTGCACCCATAGGCTGAGCAAGTAGAAGGATGCCTGTGCTGGTCCATTCCTGACTGACCATTCTCTCTCCCCGTTTTATTATCCAGTATCGTCCAACTCTTTGGCCTCATACCTCCAAGCAGAGAAATGTCTCTCTTCACAAATGATCTTTCCCCAAAAAAAATCAGCATCAGATTCCAGGTTCTCTTCTCATGTTTGGTTAGAAGAGCTTTTCACATTTCACACACTGCCATGCCCTTAAACTGCTTTCTTGTTTTCTTCAGAGGATGTGCATAGCTTTCTTTTCTCTCCTCTTGGTATGTCTCTCTGTCTCTGTCTCTCCCTCTTTACCTTTTTGCAACGATTCTCAACAAACTCTTAGGCAATAACTTTTACTTGTTGGTTCTGCTCTCTGCAGCAAAAAGTTGTCATTGACAGGTCCTGATCTTGTATGTTGTGCATTGGTTCTATGTCTTGGGCTCTGTATGTGAACCAAATATCATGCCAGAGCAGTGGTGGGTTTTGTGTCATTTGGAGTTATTTTTGTTTGTAATTGTTAATGTTTGACTACTGTCTTCATTGGGGCTGAGGTAAGACCAGCCAAATCCATATATAGCTTTACTGAGCCGGATTTGTTTGTCAGGTTTTCCCAGATGAAAAGTTTGATGCATTGACCAGTTCCTACTGTGTAGTTGATTGCATTTAAATCGGGGGCACGGGTGGGAATTGCACGTGGGAAGCATTCCTTTTTGTGCTCCTTAATTGCAAGGTTGTTTACTCAGGATTTGGGGATCAGTTGTCAGCCAAAGAGAATTTGGCAAACTGAGCTGCATGATCCGAAACCCCTTTCTCAGTTTTTATATCGTCTGATTTACAGTATCTAGTAATGCCTGATTTATCCCATTTAAAGGTATTATGCACTAATGAGAATGGAAAGGTTTTTCAGAGGAGGCATCTATGAATGGCAATAATCCCTCAATTTGACAATTGCTTTCAGGTAGGGAGCATCCTTGTCCAGCCATGGGTTCCTTCCTTTTTTTCTGTAATATCTTATGTTTTATAAACATATGATTGTCATTATTCATCTTTTACTTCAATAACGGATGTCTAACATTTACAAAGAGAGATTTGCTTAGTTTTTTTTTAATGTAGTTTATAACTAGAGCAGTAGAGAGGCCTTGTGAGGACTTGAAATGAGACCAACAGTACACTTTCAATATATTAACCTCTTGATTCATTTTTTGGAGGAATAAAGAGAGTGAAGCATAAAGGTCATTATCTGAGATATCAGCTTCCTATAATTTTGGTTGTATGTTTTTCTCTTTGTCTACAAATATAGGAAAGTTCCAATACATGCACACATAAGTGTTTTACACTTTTACTGTTTCTTATCCAAGTATTCAGTGGGCATAATAGAGTTGGGATAGGGCTCTGTGTGCCTAGCCCTGTGCATCTCTTCTCTCTTGTTTTATATACCACACCATAAAATTGTGGTCACCTGAGAAGCTAAATTAAATATAATTTATTCTCTTAAAGGTCCTTCTTTCTCCAATAAAACTGGAGAAGCATTTGTGGGGGGGAAACCCTATTTTTTTTCCATCTTTTTTTATGACAAGCTCTTTGATTTATCTGAAACCATCTGAATGGTAACTGGAGGCTGATCCAATGCCCTGCTAGCTTTTTTCTGGTGATCATGGTACCATTTAGATGATAAAAATGGGTGCAAGTATGCTGGCCAGAAATGCAAAATTACTTTGATTGTGTGTGTGTGTGTGTGTGTGTGTGTGCACGCGCACATGTGTACCGCCAATACAATTCTTATATCTTGGGGTACACTCTCCTTTGACTGAATTTTCATTTTCTTGCCCTTTTCAAAATAAAAGTGGATAGATAATGCCATAATTTATTCTTCAGTTCATATCGACATATGATCAGATAAAGGTTTGGCTGAATCTTTTCAAACTGTAACCATGGTAATTGGTTGGGTAGAATGAATTCATAAAAATACAATGATAATTATTCTGAATGACTGGGTGTCCTTTTGACATGTAATTAGCTGTTTTAGCAAGATGTAGATTGGCATGGTCATAATTAAAAGGATTTCTGTCCTTTATGGGAGTGAAAATAGCAGATTTCTCATTCCCTACTTCTGTTTTAGCACTAATGTTCTCAGGAACATTTGGAATAGCAACTCGGTCAACTCAAATAACATGGTATTCATGTTCCTCCATGATTAAAAGAAGAGGATTTCAATTTGGTTTTCTGTCAGCCAGAATGAATGTCTTTGCTTTATAGTCCCGCATTCACCTCTTAGATTTCAATTCTATTCACCTGATAATTGATTAATACAGATTACAGTTTTGACTGGGCAGAATCCATAGCCACACCCCTTGGATAAGTCACTAGTTGTCAGCCATTCATAAGACCAGACCATTTACTTTTTGCTGGGGCCTTATGCTTGTTTTAATATAAAAGAGTTTCCACTTTGTCTTAGAATTTCTACATTATGCTCCATAGATAGCTATTTTATATTTCAGCCATCATCAGAAATTATTTATTAAGAA